TCATCCTAGTCCTCAAATACCTAAAAATGAAACCCAAATGTTTCAGTCTTCTGATACTGAGTCAGATGTTGTAACCTCTTCAGTCCCAACTCAGATATTAACTTCCTCTGAGCCCTTGAACAATTTGAGTTCATTCCTCAAAAACCTGACCAAACAGCCTGAAGTAAATCTTCAAACTGAAACACAATCGTCAAAAGCTATGACTGATACCTCTGAAGCCTTTGATGATAAATCCTCTTCTTCTTCCCTGAATTCAGACTCTTTGTTAATGATGAAGCCCTTAGAACCACCTCATGAACCAGAACCCGTAATAGAAGAAAAATTTAGACCTCATGCGAACCAAGAACCTCAACCTACCCCACCCTATGGAGATTCATCTAAAGGATTTACTAATGATGACATTCCACCTTCATGATGGAATGAGAGATTTAGCGAGGTTCAAGGATGGATGCATTCAAAAATGAATAATCATGCAAACACCTTAGCCAGTACCATTTCTGAAATCATTGTAAGGCTAAGAGGGTGCCTTTTCGATTGGTACATAAGTCTTGGAGAATACAGGCAAACACAGTTAAAACATAGTCAATCCATTGTTGAGTTTCGTAATTATTTGGTCTCTGAATTCTCAAGCCCAATCAAGCCTGAACAAATTGCTGCCCGAGAAGAATTTTTTCAGCTTAAATGTTGTTCTTTCAAGCTACAGATCCTGAAAAACATTTTTCAGAGATGAACAAAAGATACCATAAAATAGGAGGAATTGATGATATAAATTTGAAACAATTTTATCTTGAATCCATACCTCCTACTCTTGGAAAAGAAGCAACAAAAACAATGGAAAACCAAAGACTTGCCATTCAAAACACCAGTTTTGGTGAATTATACCAGTTTGTTCTCCATGCTCTTGAAAGACTCTGCAACCAAGTTGAATTTGTAAAACCAATGGAAAAAAATAAGCATTTGCTGAGAAAATCTTGTGATAAACCATATCTCAAGATTAAATGTGATGCAGAAAAACAATGTTCATGTCCACTTGCCTCGAAAGGCAAAAAGAAGTTTGACCAAAAGAGGAAAAAGAAGAAATTCAAAAGATTCAAATACCTTCGACGTTCAAGATTTCGAAGACACACGAGAGGCGATAGATGCTATGTCTGTGGAAAGAAATGACATTTTGCAAAAGATTGTCCAAACCAGAAAAAGAAAAAAAAGATAATACATCTTTTATCACAGGTTTTGGAAAAAGAAATAGATGATGACTTAGAATCTGTGTTTTCACTTGATGATGAGCAGAATTCTGATACATTGATATCCATTTCTTATTCTGATGTTTTTGAGCTCAATGAGATAAGCAACATCTGTGTTCCAGAGTTATTGTCTCCACAAGATGAAATTTCAGACATAAACAATTTACCCTACCAACCTACCCCAATAGCCCTTGTTCAGATACTCCAAGAACACTACTCCAAGCCTTTGACTATACCAGCATTCTTTGATACAGGAGCATCCGCTAGTATTTTAAAACCTGATTTACTACCAAAACAGTTTTGGGAAACATGCAATCAAACTTTTCGAGCTGCTAATGGATAGAAATTTGCCATAACACAAATTAGCGAACCCATTCTGATTAAACTGTTTCCTAAAGTAGTTATCCAACATAAACTCTTAGAATCCTATTTACCGAACAAAGACCTTTTACTTGGATTTGATGTTTTACATCAAGTAAAACTTCAATGGACCTCCAAAGGATTACATTATAGGAACCTAACCTTGCCATGGATAGCCTGTATAGATCCTCCCTACACCTTAGATACAGTCAAACAAAAAATTATATCAGACTGTTGTGCCAATTCCCATTTTGAGTTTCTCCAAAAATGTACAAATCCATTATGGAGAAATCAGAATTTTATGTTCAACAGCTTTTTAAGAAAAATAAAGATATAAATCCCACAAAGGCTTCTTACAGAGGTTTAAATCCGGATTTGCTAGACCAAGCTAAGCTAGAAATACAAGATTAGATAAAGAAACAGTTATTTGAGCCTACCAGTTCTCCTTGGGCTTGTGAAGCCTTTTATGTAAATAAAAGAGCTGAACAAATCCGAAGAAAGCTCAGATTAGTTATCAATTACCAACCGTTAAATACCTTCCTTGCAGCTGATAATTTCCTTTGCCTAATCAAATTGCACTATTTTCCCAAGTATACATGCTCACATATTTTCCAAACTTGATTTAAAATCAGGATTTTGGCAAATTGGAATTCATCCAGAAGATCGTCCTAAAACAGCTTTCTGTTTACCACATTACCATTTTCATTGGACGGTTATGCCTTTTAGTTTAAAAAATGCACCCACATACTTTCAAAAAGTTTTAACCACCATTTTTGAACCACTCTCAACACAGGCACTGATATATATAGATGACATACTCCTCTTTTCTTCTGATCTCGATAGTCATGTTCTCTTATTAGATAAATTCCACTCCCTCTGTTGTAAATATGGTATCATACTTTCTGAGAAAAAACGTGTCTTTGCTACTACAAAAATAGATTTGCTTACTATGCATTTTCACAATGGAATGTACAAACTCCAGCCTCATATAGCCAAGCACTTGCTAGAGTTTCCAGATACTTTATCCTCTGTAAAACAAATCCAGCAATTTTTAAGAATTGTAAATTATATGTCCCCTTTTATTCCCAAGCTCTCTATGTTCACTAGTCCTCTTTACCTTTTGCTGAAGAAAAAAGCACCACCATGGACAAGAAAATAGACTGAGTGTGTTCTAGAGCTTAAAAGATTATCTCAAAATCTACCTTCTTTAAAAATCCCCTCTACAGGAAAAAGAATTTTGCAAACTGATGCTTCTGATGAATTTTGGGCATGTATCTTACTTGAAGAAAAAGAAAAAGACAGAATGATCTGTGGCTATAAAAGTGGAAAGTTTAAAGATTTTTAATTCCATTACCCTTCAACATTCAAGGAAATCCTTGCGGTAAAAAGAGGAATTGAAAATTTCCAATTTCATCTAATAGGACATACTTTCCTTGTTGAAATGGATTTGTCTACTTTTCCAAATATGCTGAAATTTAAGAACAAAATTCTTCCGAATCCTCAATTACTCAAGATGGTCTAACCGGTTTTCTCAATGGAATTTTGAGTATAAGCATATTTCTGGGAAAAACAATATTTTGGCAGACATGTTTTCAAGAAGAAATTTTTTTGAAGAACCTCGTCTTCCAGTTGTTCCTTTTGTGGGAGCGATTATCCGAATAGATGATGATTCACAAGATGTTCGTGATGAAATATATGACATCATTCTCAGAAAAACAATAAACTTCAGAAATAAGAATATGCAACAAAAAATGCATGAAATAGTAATCAGAAATCATGGAGAAAGTTTCCAAGGAATTCGATGCCATCAATCATATCCTTTTTTATCCCTATTCCAAATCAGACATTATTATAATATCCCAAAAGAAGCCATTTGTTTTCTCCGGTATCTTACCCAAAACCACCATAACCACCATATATGTTTTAATTTCCATGTAAGAAAATTACTTTCCTATCTCCAACACTGTCATTTCTTACAATGGTACAATTACATTCATCCCAATCCCAGAGCATTTAACTTCTATAATATCCTTTTAAAACATTACCATTATAATCCATGGATTGAATCCTTTGGTTATCTTCACGGACCTTATATCATTATAGCTTTCCATCAAGACCTTAATCGTCAGATTTATCCAGAACATACCTATTTCACCTAACATCTTCTCATCCAAACCATTGGATGGTATGATTCCAATCTCCTAAATTTTTGGCTATTTCAGGCAGATTTATGGAAAGAATTGAAAATTCTCATGTACTACATTAACAAAATCCAGCCAGAATGGATTCCTTTGGATGTCTATACAGGAAACGCAGTTTGGAATGATGAAACTCCCAGAGGAGCTGCTCTATTACACCAACTGCACATTTGGCTTGCAGATCATCCTCTTCCTGCAGAAATACAAACAGATAGTTCAAGTGATGATACATACATTGGACCCTCACACAGCCCGTCCAATCACTCTTCACCGAGTTATGATTCTGATGGATATCCCCTCAATTATGATACAGACTAAACAATACTATTTTGTCGGCAGCACTGTTCAAGAAGCACTGTACAACACTATTTTGTCGGCAGCACTTTTCAACACTATTCTGTTGACAGCACTGTTCATGATTGGCCACTTGTCCACTGTACATCAACTTTTTACAGTACATAAGGCCACCTGTCCACTGTACATCAACTTTTTACAGTACATAAGGCCACCTGTCCAAGCCAGCTGTTTTTTTTTAATTTTGTTTGAAGTCCGGATTTCACGTCGACGGTCTATATATAGCCCCTTAAGTCATTTGTAAAGGGCAGAGTGCTACTTAGAGCCTCTCAGCCTAGTTTCTTTCTGGTGTGCTTCTTCTTTCTGCTTATGCGTGTGTTTCTTCTTTCCACTTATGTTTGTAAGTTTCTTACTTCTGCTTGTCTCTTGTATTTGTAAGTTTGATCCTTATAGTTGTTTATAGACCTTCGGTGTGCATGTTTTTAAGTCATATATTATGTTTATCTGTTTCCTTCTCCATCTGTTTCTTTATTTCCTGTTCTGTGTTCTGTTGCTGTTGCTTTCCTTGTGTTCTTTATTGTTGTTTGCTTATGCACATCTCTTACATAAGGGTCCCTCCCAATCTTTGTCTCTAAGGGAATTTCTTCCAAGGTACAGGCACTCCCACAATAAATAGGAGTCTCTAATTTAACCAAGGGAATAATAATGATAACCAAGGTCCTAAGAAGATCCAAGTAACAGGTCTAAAGTCCATATTCTCACAATGCAACAAGCAAACAAACGATCAATCATTCCAAGAAAGCATTTCATAAAAGTCAACCCGATGAACTTTGACAAATTATCACATACATGGTGTAATGAAAAAATACCATCACATAAAAAGTAAGAGTAAGCTCAATCTACTTACCCCAACCCACTCTCCAAGTGTCTTAGCACTTGGCACAGTGATCAAGCTAACATTGTTATCAGCACAAATGGCTCTGACCAGCTTCACATAGTCAACTTGGTCGCAATCCTCAGCAAGCACACACAGCTGAGCAGCATGCTTCTCAATGACTTTGGCAGCCTCGTGGAGGCCACGGGCAATGCCATCATGAGCGAGTGACTTCTTCAATACGAGTTGAAGAGCGGTCATAATGTCCATTGGTTCGCCAAGAGCGGGACCAGAGGCCTCAGCCGGAACATTTGAAGCTTCATCTCTGTTAAGACCGAAACAAAAGCCCGCCACTTCATGATTACCAGAAAAATAATGGCAGCTACACAGGCGCACAACATGCACGCAAGGAAACATGCACACACATACATATTTATAATGTATAGAGAGAAGGCTGCTGGAGATACAATAAATGATTAACTGAATGTTGATGGAAACTGATAATAACTCTCTAGTATGATTAATTGCACATAACAATCACTAAGAATATGACCCACAAAAAAACTTACCAAGGAACAAATTGCCAAAGAAATGCAAAAAAAAAAAAGGTCAGGAATCTTTCCTGTCATATCATGCATCCAGGAATCTTTCCCATCCTATCATGCATCCATGGCTTTGATAATTGACATGATGCATACATCATATCTATCAAATAAGAGAAATATGTATGATGTTTGATATTTAAATAGATTAGGCCTTCTATTTGATTTCTTCTTTTTCATAGTTGGACTTGAGAATTTCATAGGGAAACTTAAATGGAGAAACTTTTGGAATGTGAGAATAAATTCTGCATTGCTTAATATTGGGATCATCATCTCAAGATTATGCTTTCACAATGTTCGAGCATAATCATGAATTTTGGTCACAGAGATCACAGAAGAAAAAGTACCTTTTGAAATGAATTTTTTTGTTTGGGGGAGAAAATGATAAAGCTTTTTTTGTTCTAACAAAAGAAGCAGACCTAGAAAAAGAATAAGCTCTAGGGGGTCGCCATCACTCTCTTTGTTTGTTCTAAAAAAAAGAAAAAGACCTCTAAAAAAGAAGAATAAGCTAAGGTTGTCAAAGAAAACTTTGAAATAAGTCCAGCAGCCAGGAAATTTGGGTTCGTATCTCTTGGGGATCGCCATCACTCTCATCAAAGCTACCTTGGCTTGTACTCCCTTAATCCATATATCCCTCTCAGTGTGCCCATGCTGACCATCAAAAAGTTCAAGACCATGATAAAACATTTCCTTCAGAGGATTCTAGGAACACCCACAAGTTCCAACTCATCAAATGGGATGAGGTTAACCTACCTAAACAGGAAGATAGCATAGGGATAAGAAGACCGAAGGATATGAATTCCACCTTACTTGGTAAATGGCTATAAAGATTGACAGCGATTCACAGAGAACCGCAACTAACAGCGGAGATGATGTATAGGTATGGAGTCAACCCCCTAAGATGGCTTCCCAAGTATGCCCAATCCACCGGTGGGGTAATGTATAATTTCTACTCCCACATCGATTCTGAGCCCAAGCAGGCAGTTTCATCAATTAGAGACCTGTGGACTGCCAGCAGTACTCCTGAATCTCTCTTCCCAAGCATGTTCTCCATCACCATTGATCAATAAGCTACCATTTCATGAACCCATGAAATACTAGGTGACTGCCCGATATGGAACCTGAGGTTTCAAACAAACCTACATCAGTGGAAGAAAGGGAGCCCTGGCTACCAGTGGAAAGTTGTGGACCATCCCAGAACAGGCTTGAAATGGATTATGGTCCTAAAAAAAGCTTCCACTTTAGACCACATCTAAAATAACGCAATTCTTCCTCAACCCCTTTGGCCTTCCTTGGGTCATCCCAACCTCCACAGATGCTTTAGTATTATCCCTCTTCCAATCAATCCTTTGGGGGCTCACTATTACTTGTATAATCTGGATCAATTGGTTGGAATAAATTAGGCAAATATTCCAAGACTCGGAGCTCAACCTTGTCACACTCAATAAGGGATCCAGGGCCATAATTTCCTTATGGACACTCTCCTGCAAGGAGTTCTTTGGTTTTTAACCTCACACATTGCGAGTCGCTGGAGCGCATCATATGGGCCAAACCCAAAAGATTGCCATATACTCAACTTGGATACCCCCCTGAGCAGTACCATCATAGTTCAAAAAAACGGACCGCCTAGCGCCTAGGAGGTCCAGAAGGCCTAGGCGACTAGGCGGTCAAACTGGGCGGTCTTCCCTGGGCGGTACGGAATCCGCCAAGGCAGCCGCCTAGCTCCCAGCCCTGGGCGACCGCCCAGGGCCTGCGCCCCGCCTAGAGACGGAAAACTTTTTTTTTTTTTTCTTTCATTTTTTTCAAATGATGCCTTTTAGGTTCATTTGAACCCTAAACCCACTAGAACCCCTTTTATAACAGAAACCTCCAAAATACTACATTTCATTGGATCAAATCATCAAAGTGTTTCTCAAAGTTTGGAGTTCAAGCAACCAAAGTAAGTTCATTTTTTGGATTGCTTGTTTTATTTTAAGATGTCTTCTTCAAGAGTTAGTCGGAGTGGAGATCCGGGTTTGAAATATGGATACAACGCGAATCCAAGTGACAAAAACTGCGTTAGATGCAATTTTTGTGAAAAAGATATAAAATGAGGCATAAACCGATTTAAGAAACATCTTGCCGGTATTAAAGGGGATGTTGCCCCTTGTAAAAATGTTCCTGAAGCTATCAAGAAGGAGATTAAGCAATTTTTGCGTTATGGAAAACAAAAGCAAGAACAAAATCCTTGTCATATATCTATATCTGCTACTCCTAGAAAAAGTGATCCGGGTTGGAAGTATGGGTACAACTCAAAACCAAATGATAAAAATTGTATAAGGTGTAATTTTTGTGAAAAAGATACCAATGGGGGTATTAGCCAATTCAAAAAACACCTTGCTGGTGTTAGAGGTAATGTTGCTTCTTGCACAAAGGTTCATGAAGTAGTTCAAAATGAGATTAGACATCTTTTGAATTTTGAAAAATCAAAAAAAGATGAAAATAAGCCTTGTTCTATGGAAGTATCTTCTCCAGTTTCGAGTCGGAGTGATGATCCGAGTTGGAAGCATGGTTATAACCCGAATCCAAGGGATAAAAATCGTATTAAATGTAATTATTGTGGAAAGGATACTAATGAGGGCAATTACTAGTTTAAAAAACACCTTGCCGGTATTACGAGGGATGTTGCCCCATGTAAAAATGTTCCTGACGCTACCAAAGAGGAAATTATACAATATTTGAGTTCAGAGAAGCACAAAAAAAATGGTAGAGCAGCCAAAACTCCTAGGGCCTCATCTGCACAGACTACACATACTAGTAAGGGGAAGGTAGAAAAAGAGGAGGAAGAAGAGGCAGATTCAAAAGAAACATAGGAGGATAAGCGTTATATTGAAGAAGGAGATGACTCTGATGATGATGGCCTCGACTCTGATGCAGATGACGAGGCTTGCCCTATTGATATTCCTTCTGATGATGATGATGATTGAAGACTCTTGCCTCTTGGTGCTGACTGCTGAGTGTTCATTGTTGAGTTTGTTGACTGTTGTGTTGAGTCATGAGTGTTGACTTTTGTTAGACTGTATATTTTCTAAATTTCTGTATATTTCTGTTGTATTGAGTGTTGACTTTTATATCCTACACTTGTATGGTTTTACAGTTTACTATTTTAACAATATGGATTATCAAAATTCTCTTCTCGACTTCTTTCCTTTTTTCTTTTTTTTTTAACTTGGAATATGGTATATTGGGATTTTTACTTTTTTTTCAACTGAGCAGCTGCGCAGGTTTCTAGGCGCCCACCCAGGCGGCTGCTTAGGCGCTAAGCGGCTTGGACCCCCCAAGCCGCCTAGGACCCGCCTAGAGCTTTTAGATACACTGAGTAACATATTAAACAAACTTCAACGGGTGCTCTTTGGATGATTCAAAACCATCTAGAGTCAACGGGATTTTAAGAGATCGGCTCAGCAACTTCATTCCCAGCTACTCCAATCCAATGGTGTTGGGGACACAACATTGTCCAAGACCCAAGCTCTCCTCAGGGGTCCCAAGCTATTCGATCACAGTTGGGCCGGCACTTGCTCACTGAAGGAGACTCTCAATATTATTGGATGCGCCAACAGAAGCGCACCCTGCACATGGAGACGGGCACATCACTTTGAGGAGAATTTCCACCTTTGATACTTTCGTGTCTCCTTAAACCATGCGCAAAAAGAGGCTACTACAGCCAATGAAAAATCGGGTTCATGCTGCTGCCCTCTTATGATAAGAGATCCCATATTCTTGGTTCTTGTATAAAATTCATTCGTGACAGAATTTTCAGCTGTATCAACTTCTTTCACCCATACTTATACAAATCTTTTGTTTTAATAAAATAAATTAAAAAAAATGAAGTCCAAGGATAACAGATTCACAAGTTCAAAAGTTGGGAATAGACGACAGTTAAGGTGCTCAACTAAATTAGGGCCTTCAATTCAAAATCGGAACCCAATTTCATATTGGTTGTATTACTTCAACCTTTCAAAGTTTAATAAAAATAGCTTCAATTTTCAAGATAACTACTTCAGACATAATAGAATGATACAATATGTTTGGATGGATGTTTGATTATTTATAGATGCCTAACAGTATAGGAATGAGTGAAGCTCCATAGATGGATAATGTTATTTTATGCAGGATAAATATTTCAGAAACCTTTTTTTTCACTTAATAGATTGAATAGGTGAATAGGATTATGATTGTCTAATGGGGAATGATAGAACTCAACAAACATCAAGTCACAACACCTTCACAAAACAGCTATCGCCCCAAAAACATGGCTTGGCACAGTGAAAATCGAGAGATAGACATCAAGAGAATAAATTTTGACATAGGGAAGTGGTAGAGAACTACAATAAAAAAAGAGGGAATATCATCATCATCATCGTAATCATAACCATTTGAGCCTCATCCCAACTTCTTAGGGTATGCTACACAAATCTTGTTCGCTTTCCGATATATCAAGGATCAACTCTCAAATCAGTCCACGGAAAAAAAATAAAAAGAGAGAATAAACCACGTAAAAAGTTACAAGATCCCAAAATCAATTCTTATTCTCCCTATCTGGCACACACAAGCACACAAACACACATGTATAAAACCTAACTTGCTCCATAAGAGACCCTATTCACTACTAAATCATCATCTATCTTTTCAAAATTATATTTCTAATTCTACACATCGACTCTCTACAACAACAAAAAAAACTCCTGAAGACAGAGAAAGGAAAGCCCTAATACCTTTACTACGTCATATAAAGAATATATTATTTCCACTTATTTTATTTTTATTTTTCTAGTTTAGTTTGTTTTCTTTGCCACTTCCTCAAATCAAGTAGTATCAGAGCTTCAAAAGATCCAGCCACCACAAGGCAACCAAAGCCTGCTCTTACAACCAAGATTGCCACAATAATGGAGGTTGCGAATCAATAATCAAAGAAGCATAAATAAAACCATGGAAGTTTTCAAGCCCAGATTGGCGAACATCAAGGACAAATAAGTGAACTTTGAGGAGAGATGGGTGAAATAAGTCAAGGATTGGAAAGTATCGATCCCCAAGAGGAGGGTATTGCAATCAAGTAGGCCCATAACCAAATTTCAACCTTGGAGAGCAGTCTAAGAATGAAACAGAATGTATCGCATATCATGAAGACATAAAACTAAAAGCAAAAAAATGCTGAAACTAACCAAACAATACTACGAACTCCATTAACAACCATTAAGAACCCATCAAATTAATCACAATATATGAAATACAATCCATTTAATGCGAGATAGGGTTAAAATCATCTACAGATTTCACATATTTCCATAAGAAGCTCCAAAATACATGGACTATTATTTGATAAATTACGATGGAAGGAGTGCCAAGACAAATGGCGGCATCATGCCAACAACTACTACAAGGCGGCCTTTGAACGATGTGACGAGTTCAACAAGCTCCAGGTCAAGCTTATTTAGTTATCCCACCCCCATGAGAATGACATAGTCAATGAAGTAGGGTTTTTCCATTTTCTTCTTCATGGGGTATTTATATCTTTTTAAATAGAGAGTTTGTGCGGTAACATTGGAAACTTAACTTTATAAGAATGAAGGGCTAGGATTTAACAGGGATCAAGGTTTCTAATGGAGCAATATAGATTGTTTTGGTTTTTTCTATAGATGTGCGAGTGTTGGACAAAAAATAGATAGATAAAAGAAGAAATTGATTTTAGGATCTTGTGACCCCCTTGCAGAATTAGAACGAGGGTATATTCTCACTTTTTCTTATTTTTCCTATTTTGGTGTAGTTTATTTTTGTTCTTCCTCTTCCCTAAATTAAATTCAACCACAAAAATCTAAAAGAAAAAAAACCACAAGCCTAAGATAAGAGAGTGGTCTAATCATAGTCTGAAATTCAAATAAAGAAAAAGAAAAATAAATCTGAACTCTGATATTCAAATCTTACTACTCACATGAGAGGCACATATCCTCATTTTACACACAAAAAATATTTCTAAATAAATACATATAAGGACCCCTTTTGGTATTTTGTAAGACTTCCTTCACAAGCTTCCAACTACATACAAAAACCTAAACTTAAACTAGTTCCCATCTCTCTTTAGCATGTACTTAATCCTCACCAAATCCCACCAATTTAGGACTCCAATTAAATAATGACATCCAACCCCTTAAAATAATAAATACTATAGAAATACCCAAAAATAAAATAAATATTGAATTTAATGGATGACTGCTCTTTCACTACAACATCATCAACAGGATCCGAGCCTTATCTCAACTTTTTGGGGTTGGCTACATGAATCATGTTCCACCATTCAAACCCTAAGTCAAACGTGTGTCACTTATTACACCGTGGCTATAAACAACCCATCGTGAAAAGTGTTTATCGAGCGTTTGTAACACCGTTTCCTAATAAGCATTGAAACAAGGCATCGTTGCATGGTGTATCATAAATCTTCATTCCCAAACTTACATTCTATAATGAACTTCAATTTCTAATAGATACAAGTATAAACATTAAGCCTCCAAGGGGATACTATCTAAGCCATTTATCAAAATAAGCCTCCAGAAACACTTTGAAAGTTTCATTTACATAACAGTTGACATACAAGGATTGTGTGTACCACTGTTAGGAAGTTTTACTTCCCCCACTGATTCTTATAGTCTTATAGGCTAAGTAACATGACAAACTTTCAATTTCTTACGAGCACAAATGATGGATTCAATGTGTTTTTCCCCAGAAACAGCTGCAACCGAACGGAAAATTCGAGTTTGTGTGATTCAACAAACTTATTCATCGTTATAGGCAAAACTACAACACTTCAAAAAAATGATCAGGCTCTAGCTCAATCAAATAACCTGCTCCTTCAACAGCTAATGAACTATCCAGTATCCATGTGTCGATAATAGAATAACCTGCCCCTTCAACAGCTAAGGAACTATCCAGTATCCTTGTGTCTATAATAGAAATCAAATAGATAGTATATACTTCAAAGACATATGTTAGAAAGGAGACAACGTATCCAAAAAAGTAAATAAGTGTCTGGATTCAAACTCATTTGAATTAACCCTGCACAGAGGAAATGTTATCTGCGCATAGTGCATCCAGAGCTTAAAATAAAGGAATGCTAACCCTGCACAGGAATCCTAAAACAAAAACTTTCTATTGCCATATTTGCTTCTTGCTGGTTAGCATATTGAAATTACGCATCCATTGCTAACCGTACAAAATTTTGCAACAAATTACTCGTCATGGTAGTGGTAAGAACTAGCAAGCATAAATTTTCAGTCATGGAAAAAGTGAGATTGAAGAAAAACAATAGAAAACTCCACGGCATTACACTATGTTGACAATTCACAATGGTATTGAAACCACACTGAATTCCATAGATCAAGATTTGACTTACAAACCAGAAATGAAAATCAAATAATATCAAAACAAAATATTTCTCGAGAAGATTGAGGACCATACCCAGCTGACATTTTCACGGATTATTTCCTTGATTTCCTTGATGATATCAACCCTAGGAAGATACAGAAGCAATCAGAAAAACTAAAAAATGGCTGAAAAGTTACAAAGCATGAACCCTTTAAAGAAAGAAAGGGAAAAAAGGAAAATTTTGACATTGAAGACCATAAATAGGAAAGAATAACTAGAGCAATAAAACCCTAATAGGGAAATGAAAGCACAAGATTTTGATTACTAAAACAAGAAAGAGAAAATGCAGAGTAAAGAGAAAAACGAACAACCATACTGAAGCAAAAACCCTAATTACCTTACAGAGAAGAAGAGCTAGGTAGTTAATGGAACTCCTGTGTAAAAGGTAAAGGGCAGCACAACGCCGCTATTTATATCAGTGGGTTTTATGATGTGCCTCACGCGTTATTTCTTGATATGCGTCAAAATTTCAATACCAAAAGTATACTCCCGCTGGACGGCTGGAGTACTACCGTCCATTTACTCCCCTGGGTAAAATCAAATGTAGGAGTAATCTTAGGATTGTATACTCCCGCTGGAGTATTACTATCCATTTACCCCTTGGTTAAATTCAATATAAAATTATGTACGGATTATATAGGGGTCAATTATAAAATGGGAACACATTGTTCTCAAATTACGGCGAACCCCCTTCTCCTCCACAATTTTTCCATATTTTTTTGAAAAATTATAAAAAGACCTTATGACTACACTTTTTATGCAACTTAGCCCCAGTTAATTTTTTCTTTCACTTTTTTTTCCATAATAAACTTTTCATGCAAATATCCCCAAGAAAATAAGTTCAGTTTTTTAGACGAAAATGACTTTCTCATACATAAAAATCAATTTAGTCAGATTTGACGTTGATTTTTGGACCCCAGTAGCACGTTGTCAGACCGCATTTACACAGTGCCAGGGCCCTTTGACTCTATAGTGTTACACTGCCTGACCGTACTTATATAGTGTCGGAGCGCTTGATCCACTGCCGGACCACACTTACGCAGTGTTGAAACGCTGTGATTCCAAAGTGTTCTACTATCGAACCGCACTTACAAAGTGTCGGAGCCCTGTTACTCCAAAGTGTTCCACTGCGGGACCGCACTTACACAGTGCCGAAGCCCTGCGACTCCATAGTGTTCCACTACCGGACCATACTTACATAGTACCGGAACCCTATGACTCCAAAGTATTCCACTATCGGACCACACTTACACAATATCGTAGCGTTGTGATTCTAAAAACTCTTTCTGGATCGCCCTCATAGATTGCCAGACCATTTTCTCTCTCTCTATCCCTCAACCTTCCTTTTTTTTCTTTTTGCTTTTGGGTGGTATTACATGTTAACTAATAATAAGGAGAACTAGAGCTACGGGCTTTGGGGGCTTAGGCTAGGGCAAAGAAATTGATAGCTATTTCAACAAGAGAGATCGGGCCCTGGATTCAATGAGACAGTAGAAGAGAGAAAGAGGGTAGGACTCGGGCCAAAAAATCCTTTGAAGAAGGAGAAGGAGAGAGCTTGGCCCGAGAGAGAGCGCAAGAGGGAAGGATCTCATGCCGTGAGTGCGTCTGTAGACTGTGGGTCCTCTCACACTAATTTTTTAGGTCTCATGGGGAAGGGGAGAGAAAGGTGTGGGTAAAGGGTAAACGGTAAATGGTAAAGTAAGGGAGGAGAGAGGTAAAGAGTAAAGTAAAAGTAGTTTTTCATTTTTTTTAATTTTTGGGATGGTTGGGGGTATTTGCTAGAAAATTTGTTTTGGGGAAAAAAGTGAGAGAAAAAGACTAGTTGGGGGTAAGTTGCATAACAACATGGTCTTGGGGTTATATGTAATTTCCCCTTCTTTTGATTTTTTTTCTTAAGTTATCTCCTGTTCGGTAAACCGAATACGAAACAGGTGAACCCCAGGTTTAGTGCACCTCATCCTTAGCCCCTCCCTCTCTTTCTCTCTCTCTAATCTCTATCCCTTTCTCTCTTTCTCTAATTTATAGAATTACAATGAATTTTATAGGGTTTCAATTGAGAACGAACATCAAGCAAGAAATAGCAATCAAACTCTCAACCAGTTTGTGACAATCCCATATGCATCTAAAAAAAATGTGGATCCATTTTCATTTACAGCCAAGCATGACCTAACACATCCATTTTTTATGATTTTTTGTGACATCTTTTTTCCCTTTATGGTAAGAAAAAAGCTTCTTTTGCTTTGCATCAGGGAGATCAATAGTTGCCCAATTTTGTTACAAGGCCTTTGATGTGTCCATTAGCTTGGATATGCTTTTTCTTTTTGGGAAACATGCTTGTGAGGTGGCAAACTTATTGAATGCTATAGGCCGGTTGGCTTAAATTTAATCTCAAGCACATAAGATTAATGTTATTTTTTTAAAAAATATATTTTTATATAAATTATTTTTACCTACAATTTTAATGGAGAGGTGTGTTGAAGCTAAGCACAATTGGTGAAATAAAAAAAAAAAAATTGTACGTTAAAGAAAAAGAAGATAAAAGTTAGTGAACATGAGTCATCCAGAATGTGTAATTTGGGTCTTCTAGCCAATATTGTAGTTGGCTAGCTTATCCATAAAATCCACATATTTTGTCTCGTTTTTTTTTCTTTTCCTTTTTGTTTATATTTTTTTTTTAATTTTTTTTTTGGTAGTTCAACAGTAAGAATCAAACTTAGAGTAGTAGTATTGTTGACATCAATAACTCACCATTCAAACCAAGCATGACTCCTAATTAGGTTGGGTGTGTACACTATGTAGCGTTGGGTATGTACACAATGTAGCTCATTTAGTTCGTATGAAAATTTCTTCATAAAACAGTTTTCATATAAAGTCACACACGTTTGGTTCATGCTTAAAACCAATAAAAATTTGTCCAATAGAAAACCGTTTTACCACTACAATGAGCAAATCGTGTGAAAGGAGATCCCCAACTCACAAGGTGGGGAGTAAGTTCACGAGGACCCAAAAAAATTATTATATTTGAGTTTATGAAACCAAAAATAAAAAAGAACCTCTCTCACAAACCCGGGGTTAGGACCATAAACTGTTGGAGATAAAATACATAAAGCTTGATTCACTTGGGTGTACTAAGAATCATATATAATAAGAATTCGTAGTCATTTTTAACTGTTAAACGACAAATCAGACGGCTTGAAATCTAATGGGTGATGATTGTAACCTTGTTGCCAATAGGTATATGATAAAAAAAGAAGGGCAAAAAAAAAAAAACAGAAACTCATAGTGATGGTAACCCGACAGGATAGACCTGAGACTCGATAAATATGGGTATGGGTCCAACTTTTAGACCTGACGGGACCAAAACCTAGGCCGGAATACATTAGAGTCTCTTACAATAAATCCATTTATTGGGAAAAGTTTCTGTACTCCCCTACAACATAGAAGATCTATGCTTCCCCTACCATCCAGCCGTCCAATTTTGATCAAGAGAGCCACTCACCGTTTGATCTTAGATCTGACATCTCAAAGTATTTTATTTTTAGTTTTCTTTATACAAATTGTATGAATATGAAATTTGGTACATGCCATCTTCTCATTGAGACGTACCTATAAAAAATATTAAAAATAAATTTTCGATAAATATAATGACCAAAATACCCCATGAAACTTTCAAAGGTATTTTGGTCATTTATTTTTTTTGGAAATATTTTTTGTAATATTTTTTCGCTAGTGCGAGTTTAATAGAGGATTGAACGTCCAAAATTTGATGTCAAAATAGTTTATAAAAAAAATTAAAAATAAAATAGTGTAGAGACATGACATTGTGATTGGAGCAATCTTAGCCCTCCATTCAGAATGATTGGTTGGATAAAGGGAAGTATTTAAGTTGAGTTCGATGATCGATTTATTTGAGGGTTTTCCGCGGTAAGAACAACCTTCTTCTCCAGTAGGTTTTTCTATTGCATACAATATAGGGCTACACCTAATATAAACTTTTGAGAAAATATCCTTGTGAACCTAAGTTTTAAATTTTATTTATTTTTCTAACTCTCTAAACCAAGTGTACTCATTTTTACTTAAAGTTTTTAACCCAAACAAATTTGAAAAAAGTTGTTTTAAAAAAGTTAATTTTTTTCTATTTTCTCCATCTTTACTTGCTTCTCTCACTGGGAGAGAGAAAGTTGGGAACAGGGAAAAGGCATGGGAAGGGAGAGAGAGTTGGGAAATAGAGAGAGTGGTTTGAGAGATTGAAGAGAAAAAGAGAAAAATGTAAAAAAATGGGTTTAAAAGAGGTATTTTTGTAAAATTTGTTTAGGTTGAAAAATAAGATAAAATTGGTATAGAGGGTTTGAAGATATAATAAATAGAATTTTTATTACGCTAGATAGGTTTTAAAATTTGGGTTTACGAAAAAATGAAGCTTAAAAATAAAGATGTATGAAGAAATAAAATTTAAAAATAAAATCTATAAAAATATATTTTTTAGACTGTTCAATTAAAAATAGGGGTTTATAGAGAAATAAAACTTAAAAATAAGATCCATATAAATATTTTCCCCAAACTGCACCTTACGGACACCTTATATAAACTTTTCCCAAAACCCTGGCCCCTCTTAACAACATAAGGTTACACCTTATATATACTTTTCCCAAAACCCTGGCCCCTCTAATAACGCGCTGCATTCTCTCTCACAAAACCTCCCTCGCCATTCGCTCTCTCTCGTACAAAATTCCTCATGTTCTTCAAGCGAGGCTCCATTTGCAAGTTTTCATCTTTTTCAACGAGGTAAGTTTTTTTCATTTATTTTTTTTTCTAGTTTTTCTTCGTCACAGTGTAAAGATTATTCACCAAACAAGTAGGGTTTCCCTCATTCGAATCCCATTCAAAATACTTCATCTTCTTCAACAAGGATATGGGTTTTATTCTTGTGATTTTTCTCTCTAGACATTTTTTTAATTATCAATTGAAACATTTTTTTTCTATGATTTCCCCATGGAAATTTGTTGCTTTTATTTATTTATTTTGGGTTGTTTTATTGAGTATAGAAGCACAATTTTCTCTGTAGAAAAATGTGGGTATGGATTTTTTTGTTGAATTTTTCTGTTTTCTTTATTTATTTATTTCTTGCTGGTTTTTTTTGTTGTTGTATAGAAGCCATTTTGTGATTTTTTCATCATCATGAACAAGTCTTGTAGCAAGTTTGGGTTTTCCTTTCATCTAAAATGTGGGAAATGTTGTTATCTTCTTTAATAGTGCTATCCTCGAGTCATGCATATGTTAGTAATTTTCATGATAGACTTTTGCAGAATCTGCACTAACTTCGGCTATGAAGCCCTGCAGATTCTCTAGTGCTAAAATAATCTCATATTAGGATGTCCAATTAACAGCATGTTTATAATTTCATATATGCAAATATGCACACTTATGAATATATTCATATTTATAATCTCTCACGAAGAGGAATACTCCTTACATGATCAAACCATCATTCTGCTGCAGACGAAATTCATAGACATTATGTGAATAGAAGTGCAATTAAGTTGACTAGATTATTTCCCTCTTATGTTGAAGACAAACAAATTCAATTATTAAAACTGTCCCCTTGGTTGACTCTGTGTGTTAGTCTAAGTCTTCTGCCTGAATTTCCATTTCATCATCTTTTGATGATAATAATTTGATGTGGCAAGTTTTTTCTTTTTTTTATATCATTAATAGTGACATAGTTATGTTGCTTTGTTGGATATTGATGCCCTGTTCTCATTTCTTTATTTGTTAATGCTTACTTGAAGAGCATAAATGCAATGCTGGTTTTTAAATTTTAGAAATTTATCTAAATTCTTAAAATAATTTTTTTTTTCACATTTTTTTTTTCTTTTTCTGGTAGTTTATATGTAAGATAATTACTGAGAAAGTCTAAGGGCACAACAAAAGGAGGGTCTGTCTTCTTTATTTAATTTTATGCTGATTTTTATGTTATTAGATGTTCATAAGCTACATGTGTTTAGTCTTGACTACATTCTTTGCTAGCTGTTAGCATTATCAACAACACTAATTCATGCAAGAGAATCTTGACTACATGCTAGCTGTTAGCTTTACATAGGATTTCTTGTGAGAGTCAAAATGAATTTTTTCAATGACAGAAAAAGTGAAATTATAGTTGAAAAACTCAAAAAATATTTCAAGGGGAGAATTCTTCAAGTTAATTTTTTATTTTTTTTACATAACCAATCAAAATATAAATGGATATTTTATACCATCACCCTTATGTTTAATACCTATATAGAAAACATTATTTATTGAATCTTTTTGAAAAATTTGCCTTGGTTGTTTCCTTGCTGCAAAATGAATCATCATCATTTCATTTCATCATCATTATAGCCTTTTAATTAATTGGGATCGGCTACACGAATCATGGTTCGCCATTGCTGCAAAATGAATGTGGACTTAAAATTTTTTTGCACCAGTTTTGATTGGACCGGAGTCACCAGACCCCTCAGAAGTTTGGTAGCCTGTTCGATTGTGATAACTATGGTTTTTCATGTCAAAAATCCATAACGTTAACACTACAGAGTTACGCGACGAAATTGCTAATGCAATGTGAGAATGATATCGAAATAGGGTTTAGGATGTAGTAGTCGTAATGTTATTATGTTCTTCATTCTTTTTTATTGTTCTTGTACCTCTGTTATGCATTTCGAGATTGTATATTGACATCATGCATTAAAAATGTATTCATGCATTGGAACGAAAAAAAACTATTGATAAATTTTGTACTACAAATATTTTGTCATTAATCTTACAATATAGAGAGATTAAACAACAAAAATGCACAGATTAGTTAACCAAGGCTTGCTGCTTGTGTGAGCCAGACTTGTGATCTAAACCATCCATTCTTTTCAAGCATAATATAGATTGGAGTGTTTTTAAAAAATCATCTTAATGGGATGGACGTCGATATCAAATCAACTATATTGCAATTGAATGGTTAAAAATAAGTATTAATCGAGATTTTGGGAGATAGTTTACGAATGAGTTACCAAACATAAGAAATTGGTACACAGGAATTCCAGACATGTGAACCAAACATGGGAAAAAACAGGATTGAAAGCTCTTGCACAAGAAACTGTTTACATGTGAAAACTATTTTACGTATGGAAACTGTTACACACGAACCAAATGAGCCCTTAATGTGATCATGGGTATGTGCTTATTGTTTTCAATATATGTTAAAAAATAGAAGGTTTTGTGTGTTCAACAAATGCGGACATTCTTTGATCATGTTGGTTTAAGATCCCAATTTTGGGAAAGTTCAGATTGTAAATGTTCGATAGAATGTCTATGAAAAACTAGGTTCCTAAGTTTCTTGGACTGCTATGTAGTTGGGGAATCATGGCTTGAAAAAAGGTTTTGAAGAAATGCATGAGAGACTTAGTTTTATGCAAATTCTAGTTTTCTCAGTATACCGAGTCTATAAAGTTCCTTGAATATGAGTTAACAGTCATACAAACACAAAAACTACATATTAGGATAATATGTAATCTAGAAATATGGAAAGCCAACAAAGCCTTTATCTAGATTTTTACAATCATGAATATTCAGCCTTTTTTATCAAACAAGCCCTTAGAAACTAAGCTACAAAAAAGCAGAACTACACACAAATTAAATAACCTGTTTATGAATCCTTGCATGTCTTATATCCTTATACCCGTTTTGTTATTATTTATCCTTAATATCTTTCATTATGGATTGAAGTTAACTTTTCTTTTGTAATTTCAACTTTATAGGTTCATGCAATATGGTTCTAAGCAGTGTTTCAAAAATTGGAATCAGGCAATGATCTGGGAGATGTTTTAGCCTGAGAACCACCGGTTTAAGACCAAGCTACATTTAACCCAAAAAAAATAAAAAAATTAGTACACTAGAAAGCAGGGAGATCAGGTGATTCTGGTTTCTTTGGCCTGGAATTGTGTGCCTTCCAGATCAGGATCTTGTATGACTCGTGCAATTCTCAAGTTGGACAGGAAAATTTTGAAACACTTTGTATGAGTATATCCCTGTTATTCTTGTTGAAAAGCTGTGGCCTCTTCTTTTGTATAGCCACGAATACTTGTGGCTGTTAAGGCGCAAGGTCCAAAATAGGGCTATTTTGGCCAAGGGCATTCACCTCATAGTTATATTGGTGATAATATGTCATTTAAAACAAGGCAGAAAGAGAAACTGATAAAACATCTCATAATGGTGATAAAGGCCATTCATTAAGTAGGTTCTCTGTTTTGAATGCAATTTAAATCGAGTTTAAGACTGATTGCTGATAGGATGATGTAGTAGTTAATGCTTCCCATCAATCATGTTGTCCTGTGAAGTAGTTTTTCTTTCCCATGACTCAGTTTCATCGTTATAGGTGTCCTTGATGATCCTATTGTCTCATTATGAATGACTCAATAGTCAATAGACAAATAGGGATCACGGTCAATGAAAGAGCGTTTTCACATGCAATGTCACATGACACTAGCAGCTAGTGACATCTCTTACCAAACTGATTCTTGTTTATGAGTGATGTAAGGTTGTTCTTACCTTAGAAGATCAAAATAGATGAATAATTTTGCCATATGTTTGTGGTACAATTCAATCAGCCTGAATAAAATGATCTCCATGTGAGTTCTATTTTCCATAGGCATATCACCTATAAAGATTGTTTTCTTTAATACACAATCTATACTTTGTAGGTTTATATCAATGAAAAAATAGAGGCTTGCTATTTCTTCAAGTGGAAATCACTGGTTGTGTTTCATTTCATTGGAAGCTTAGGCAGCATAAGAAACAACCTTACTTACTTTGCATATGACCCTTGTGTTGTGGTCATTGTCACCTTTCAGTTTGTGACTCCGTTCTATTTGGTTTCAAGACAATAAGAATATGTTCTTCCAAACTTCAAGAAGTTCCATAATTTTTGCTTACTTTTTTGGCTCTTTATGGAGAATTTTGTAGCTAAGAGAGCTTGGTTCCTTTGGAAGGATTGCGGTGTCCCTATTGGTAACCTTTAGAGCAAAAGGCCATACATCTCAAAGAGTATTTGTTACTTCAAGTTTTCAATACTCATTTTGTTGTCAGTCATGTCATCCTTAAGGAATGCTCTTCCGAGGCGGGTCCATAAGGAGCGTGCTCAGCCGTGAGTGATCTCTCTCTGCTTCTGTTTTGTGTCTTTTATTTTTTATTCCTTGAACCACAATATGTGATAGTTTATTACTCTCTACACAGACGACATAGGGAAAAATTTGGGATCCTTGAGAAGCATAAGGACTATGTGATAAGGGCACGACAATACCAAAAGAAAGCAGAGACAATACGGGTAACCCTTGGATTCTTTTTGCATGTTTTCTTTCCTTTGTTGTTTTGGGGGAATTTCATATTGTTTAAATTTTATATGTTTATTCGAAAAAGAGTATGCTATGCCAGAATTCACGGATTATTGCTTGACTATGAAGGGACCTTAATTCATTTGTGCTTATTTGGTTATAGAAACTCAAGGAGAAAGCAGCATTCAGGAACCCAGATGAATTCTACTTTAAGATGATCAAGTCAAAAACTGTGGATGGAGTACATATACCTGCGTTAAGTTTAATATCCAATGATTTTTTTGATAAATTTATTATTTATTAAGAGAAATCAAAATATTTGAAATCAAAATCAGATTTTTTTTATTTGGTTTGGATGTCTTATTATGTTACTATTGTAGGTTGACATTATTTTGTATGTGATGCAGGAATCAGGCCAACACATTCAGCCAAGAGGAGTTATTACTTATGAAGACCCAGGACATAGGATATGTTCTTCAAAAAGCTCAAAGCGAGAAGAAGGTATGTCCTTTTGCCTGATGGATTCTTGGAGCAAATTCTAACTAGTTCTATGCTGAACTAATTCGTAATGTGTTGTTTATGATAGAAAGTCGATAGGCTAAGTTCTGTGTTGCATTCTGTCAACAATCCTTCATCGAGCAACCATGTTTACTTTGCTGATGATAGGTAAAAGCTTTTTTCTCTTTTCTTTTTCTTTTCAATTTTTGTTTAGTTTTGCTAAAGAAGTACCGTGCTTATGTTGCGGGACAAAGTACCAAGGTTCCAATTGGTTAATTTGTTTTCAGGTTTCTAGGTTCTAATTGATCAAATTAGCTGTTTGTCAAATGTCTAGAACTACTGTTGAATATAAATTTCAAAAGAAGAAACATTTTCAAGAAGTATAAAAACCCAGCGACGAGTTAATTTAAGTTAGTCAAAGGTTGATCAATAGAAGCAGAAATGTGTGTTTGTAATGTTTGTTACTAGAGAACAGTGTTTGCTGTTGGGAAAATCGGTTGAGAGTGTATGATCATGTGACTTCGCACATTTGGTGAAGACAATGTTTAAAAGAAAAATGGAGTGGTGACCCACATCGGCTATCCAGAAAACCAATCTAAATTGGTGGATCAGCGGCCTGGATAGGTTGGATCCGATCTTAAAAAATTCAAAAATAATTGAAAAACGTAACAACCCACATCGGCTATCCAGAAAACCGATCCAAATTGGTGGATCAGCAGTCCGGATCAGTGGGGTCCGATCTTAAAAAAATTTCAAAAAATTACTAAAAATCATTATAAATTATGTTTTTTTGAGTTTTCAAGAAAAAATGGGGGTAATGCGATATGAATTTTCATTGCCTTGTAAAACTACATGAATATTGAGATGTTTCCAGTTTGAATGTATTTTGATACTCATGTTCACATCTTGGATATGAATGAGCATACAATTATGAAAATACAACCTAATTCCAAGAGGGTAGTTTTTATGTATGAAATTTATACATGTTTTAAAAGATATATTGCAATTGTCAAAATATAAATTATATAATTATAATTGACAATTTCTAAAAAACAAATAACAATCATAATTTACAAATTATTAATTTGTATTAAATACGAGTGACATATTTTAAATGAAAATAATAAGTTAAATGTATTTATAACTTATAAAAGGGATTGGGATTGACAATATAAGAGGGATTGACCATTTAAATATAATTTGCAACAATATTTTATAACAATAACATCTCCCCACCTAGAGATTTCATCGATTGAACATGGATTGGACAATATTACTTCGAGAAAGTCGCCATGGTGAAATTGGTAGGCACACCGCTCTTAGGGAGCAATGCTTGAGCATCTCAGTTTGAATCCGAGTTGCGCCATCCTTGAACCCCAAAAGGGACACAACAGATCCTATATCCTATAATTGAAAATAGAAATTCAATTCCTTATTTCTATTCTCGGATTGAAGGACCTCCTCCTTTTTTGACCAAAACGACTTTCTTATCAAATTCGTGACTTTAGAATATATATTAACTCACATCTATTTTTTGATAATTTCAATTGTCATTATGACTCAGTTGATTACTGTGTCGTGAAATTGTAGGACTATCTAATTTGTCATAAAAAAGCATTATAGTTGTTTTTTTTGCGTATAATAGTATTATTAGTCACTCTTTAGACAAGAAATGAATCCAAATTTCAGGATCATTGTTCCTTTTAATCCAGGCTATATAATGTCCTTTTTGAGAGCTAGAGGAAATGCATCTCAGGTCCACCAATTAGGTATGAGAGGATTAATGTTGGATTCCCAAGTACAAACAATTGATTTGCCCATTCAAAGAAATTTATGCGAAGGGATTTCTTTAACAACGATGGAACATGATCCATTTTGCATCATATCTAATGGATTCCTTGGTTTGGACCAAAGAAGCAATGATACTTGATCATTATCAAACTGACTGCAATCTTTTTATGTCCGTGAGGATCCCATTAGAGCGCCTGCTGTTAGGCCAGGAACTAGATCAAAATCATTCTCAATGAATCCAGACGAAGCGATCCAATTTTTTTAATCGGGTTTGGGTGGAGACCAAAGATCTTGAAAACCTCAAGCTAGGGGACACTGATATCCCATAAAAAGACCCACTTATCTATAAGTACTGTTTTAAAGGAAAGAAAGAAAAAAAAGGAAAGAAAACCCATGTAGTTTGAATTTGACAGATCAAGCCTTACAAAACAAAGTCTTACCTTAACTGAAAAAATAAACTGAAATAAAATTCAAATATATAGAAAATTATATAATATAAATAATATGAGTAAAAATTGAAATGAGTTTTTACTTTTTCCTGATCTTGTTGAAAAAAACACGCACCAGAGTTTGTCATATTATATTGATGGTTCGTGAATGAACAATAGAGGCGAAGATGTAGAAGATTCTTGGGATCTAGTTATAACATTATATTGACAATTCCAAAAAATATTCATATTATAATAATAATACCATGGCAATGGGTGGTATGCCCCTATTGTCTAGTGGTTCAGGAGTCATGATATCTCCCTTCCATGGAGGCAATAGGGATTCAACTTCCCCTCAGGGTAAGGTAATGTACTATGTTAAGGAAAGTTAATCATGGCTTCTCAAAAAGTCTAGAATTGCAAATACGTTTTTCTTTTCATTGATCGCAACAAACAAAACAAGCGAATGAGTTCTAATGATCAATTATTTATTTCTGTTGTATATTTGCTGCTTTACAAACTGGAAGAGTTTAAAAAAAAAAGTTGTTATAATGTCGTTTATATGTGTTGCAAATACTTCAAAATAATAATGTTGTATAACTGTTGGGGTGGGGACACATAATTCAAGAAAAATTAATAATGTATATTATAATGGGTTTCAATGGATAATAATAGAAATGACGTAGGCATAATAGTAGATAGAGATTTCAAAACTAAAGTAGTTAATGTCAAAAGAATAGGTGATAGACTCTTATTGATTAAACTTGTGTTAGGAGAAGAGATAATTAATGTAATTAGTGCTTATGCACCACAAGTAGGATTAGATGATAGAATTAAGAGACAATTTTGGGAAGACATAGATGGAATAGTCCAAAACATACCAAATGGAGAGATGACCTTTTTAGGTGGAGATCTAAATGGTCATGTAGGAAAGGATAGTAGAGGATATGAAGGGGTACATGGGGGATACGGGTTTGGGGAAAGAAATGAGATGGGTGAGACTATTCTAGATTTTGCTATGGCCTATAACCTAGCAATAGCAAACACTTACTTTAAAAGGCGAGATGAACATTTAACAACCTATAAAAGTGAAACACATAAAAGCCAGATAGACCTCTTCTTAGTTAAGAAGGTAGATTGACCATCATGTAAAGGTTGCAAAGTTATCCTAGGAGAGAGTTTGGCTACCCAACATAGGCTTATGGTCATGGACGTCTGCTGCAAACATGGAGGAGAAGGGGTGAAAGTAATGGGCATCCAAGAACTAGGTGGTGGAATTTAAAAAATGAGAAAATAGACTTATTTAGGGGTAAATTAGTTGAAGAAGGAAAATGAACCTCTGAATATGATGTCAATGTAATATGGAATGAGATGGCTGAATATATCAAAAAAGTGGCAAAAGAAGTTTTAGGAGAATCTAGAGGGAAAATAAACTTCGATAAGGAAACTTGGTGGTTGAATGATGAGGTTCAGAATGCCATTAGCGAGAAACGATCATGTTATAAAACTTGGCAGTGTAATAGAAACGATCAAAATTTAGAAGAATATAAAAGTGCTAAGAAAAATATTAAATAAATAGTAAGCAAAGATAAACTTAAGGCATATGATAATCTATACAATAAACTGGGAACAAGAGAAGGTGAAAAATATATCTTCAAATTAGCAAAAATAAGAGAGAAAAGGTGTAGAGATCTAAACCATATTAAATGTATTAATAGCGAGGATTAAAGGGTCTTGGTGAAGGATGACGAGGTCAACGAAAGGTGGAGAGTTTATTTTAAAAAATTATTAAATGACGAACACAATGGGAACATAGTGTTAGGAGGGACTATTGGTACAAGTGACGACGAAGGTCATAAATACATTTGTAAGATTAAGATGTTATAAGTGAAAGACGTTTTGAAAAGGATAAAGATAGGAAAGGCTTCAGGACCAGATGGTATCTCAATAGAGATTTGGAAGTGTATGGGGGAAATTGGCATTAACTGGCTGATGAAGCTGTTCAACAAGGTGTTGAGAACAAAGAAAATGCCAAATGAATGGAGCAAAAGTATTGTGGTACCTATTTACAAGAAACAAATGAGACATACAAAATTGTGCAAACTATCGAGGGATCGTGCTTATGAGCTATACTATGAAGCTCTGGGAGAGAATCATTGAGCAACAACTAAGGCATGAAATGAGTGTATCTGAGAACGAATTTGGTTTTATGCTCAAAAGGTCAACAACTAGGGCTATTTTCCTACTTAGGCAACTGATTGAGAAGTCTAGAGCGAAGGGAAAAGACCTCTACATAGTCTTTATTGATCTAGAGAAAGCTTATGATAGAGTACCTTGAGATTTGATTTGGCGGGTGTTGGAAAAGAAAAGCGTCTCTAAACATTGCATCGACTTGGTGAGAGATATGTACGATGGAGCGCTAAGTAGTGTACGAGCAACTAGTAGAGAAACGACTAATGGAGAAACGAGTGAGTTTTCAGTGACAATAGATCTACATCAAGGTCAGCATTGAGCTCGTACTTTTTTGTCTTAGTTATGGACGACTTAACTAAGCACCTAAAGGATGTGGTATCGTGTTGCGTGTTGTTTGTAGATGGCATAGTTTTGATTGATGAGACATGAAACGACGTCAACATAAAGTTAGAACTTTGATGGGATACTCTAAAATCCAAAGGTTTTAAAATTAGCTGGACTAAAACAAAGTATATGGAGTGCAAGTTTAGTAATAATGGGAGTAAAGACGAGGAAGTACTTAAGATTGACGGCCAGAAAGTACAAAAAAAGACCGCACTTCTGATATCGTGGGTTGATATTCTAGGAAAATAGAGAGCTCGAGGAAGATGTCACCCATAGAATTAGAGCTGGGTGTGCGAAGTGGAGATGTGCAACTGGAATTTTATGTGATCGCCGCATACAAATGAGGCTAAAGGGCAACAAGTTCTATATGAC